TGTGTGTGTGTGTGTGTATACATATATATATGTTATTCATACTAAAATACCATAAACCTTATTTGTTTTAAAGAACCCCCCACATTTTATTATTTATTCATCAAAAATTAAAGATCAGTGTATTTAACATTTTTAACCTCTATTATTAGTGCTAATACATTGAAAACATTTAACAAGCACAGAAGTTCCAACAATTGTCTTGTTAAGTGTCCCTTTTTTTAAATAACACATTATGTGTTTGCTGGTGTCCTAAATCCTTAAATCCTTGTATTTTTGTTTTGTTTTAAGTTTATATTTTTAAACATTAGGACTATTGTTTACAACCACAGGAAAATAAGTAACCAATAATATTTCCTTTCCAGTTGGTGGTGGTAATGCACCATTCTGTAGTTCGCCAACTACCATAAAACAACACAAGAAGAAGAATAAGAAGCTCTCTGATTGGTCGAGTTCCAAGGCTGGTCCGTAATTGGTTAAGTCGTAATGGAGAGGACGAAGCCCATTGGAYGAGAGAAACAGACTAATGTGAGTGAAGTATCCTGTAACACTGGTGGCTTCAGCATTGCTGTCAAAACATTTCATGGTGYATCAAACACAAAAAATGTAATTAAAATCGACTTCGTTTTTCCAGTTGACACAAAAATACAATCAGCATTCAGCCCAATTAGACTGTGGGTGTATCCACAAAGTGATGTGCACACTGTAAAGGGTTTATCCAGACGAGGTGGCCGAGTGGTTAAGGCGATGGACTGCTAATCCATTGTGCTCTGCACGCGTGGGTTCGAATCCCATCCTCGTCGAATTCTACTTTTCCTTTTCATTCTATTAAATCACTTTAACTGGGACCACCCTAGAACATTTTCACTGTAGCAGAATCGATGGTGGACAAAGTACAGTTTCGTTACTTGAATCACTTGAGTGTATTTGGCAATGTTTGGGAAAATTTACTGCTACAATTCACAGATGAGTAACTCCAAATATATATTTTCTGGATGTTAAAATATGCTTTACAATTTCACGTATTATTCAATCACTCCTCTGTATCCTCAAGTATGTGCCTGGGCAGGGATTTGAACCTGCTATGCTATAGTTGAGCCCTGTGAAGAGCAGGCATAGCCATCATTAACCACCTGCCTAATCTGAGCACAAATACAGGCAACACWAGAAAGACTAAAACTATTCTTCTCCTTGCAGCCAGTTTAAAGCTGCTCATCAACACTGTATGGGGTAGCGACAGGTCCAGGAGAGAAACCCAGACCTCCCTCCGATGAGTCCTGACTCTTCCCCAGGACCTCCTACCAACAGAATGTGCTTGAACACCTCTAAAGGGAGGCGTCCTAATCAGATGATTAGATTAATAAACTTTCTCAGACAGATGAGAAATGTCCTTCTACAGGTGTGTGGCAAAGATGGTGAAGGTTGTAAAAATGTTTCCCACCCACCATGTATATTTTCACCTCCAGAGGCAGGAAGTGTCACCTGTTTCATAATGTCTACACCAAAATAGTATTAAAACAAATATACATAATAAAAAAAACATTGTGAATCTAAAATGTTCAATGCTTCTGATAATATAATATAGTTTCTACTATGTATAATAAATTGTGTAATTTTCACTCATTTTGTTTTAGCTCATTGTGTAAATTCACTATGCATCAGTATCTTACTTTCATGCTTGCTGATTACCAGTAAAAATAATTTAACACAAGCACAAGTTGACATTTTTATTTCATGGTCATTATCCAAAACACACACACACAAAAAAAGCTTGGTGACAGTGCATGTCTGATCATGGAAGGCATTTTCTGTTTCAAACCTTTTGCAAACCTCAATCCGAGTCACAGATATTGACCAAAAAGTTAGACTATATTACTGATAACATCATGACAGGTGCTTTAGTTACCATTTAGCACAAATCTTATATTCAGGAAGCTCATTCCCAATCATAATATTTCTGTCTGATGATGATTTCATAATTAAACAAAATAAACTCGCCCAAAGTAAATCTGACACTTATCTACMCTAAGGCATGGATGAGACAGTCACTTGTTCTGCTGCAACAATGACTTTTTCCTCAACATGAAAATAACTTAGACCCTCATGAAATCTAAAATTTGAAGTTTACTAAAGTGTGTTTTCATAAAATTGAACAGTTTATTTAGCAGCTCTGGATATTCAGCTGCAACGTCTGCTCGTAGTCGTAAATATTTTCAACACAACATTTCCGACATGATATAGAAAACATTTTCTTCAATTTTAAACATCAACCTGTTGGTGCACAAGTCAGTAAAGTCATAATTACGTATTCTGGACATTGAATTTATTAGCTGAATATATGACAGTATTGTGAGATAAAATACAAACAAATGGCAGAGAAAAGATAAAAAAACCTTTATGAGGATACAACTGTCAGGTGTTGAAGCCTGTTGCAAAGAAACGAGTGTAATGGTTTTGCACAAATTACAGTAAATCACCAAATCCAAAAGGTATGTCATGAGTTCAGGTTTTCTGACTTGAATTTTTGTTTTGTTTTGTTTTCAGTGCTGCAGAAATCCAAGGGCCCTACTGTCACTGTCCATCCTTACAGAACTATGAGACCAGAACTCCAGCTCCGCTTTTGGATCCGCCTCCTTCGCTGTCTCTGGAGTTGGTCGCCGACTGGCCCTGCCCCTCTCCTTCACCTTCTCCAACCAGACGGATGTTGTAACGTTCTCTGTACTCCGTGAGTTCCCGACCCTTCGTCTGCATTTGTGTGCTGATGGTCTCGATTATTTTGGAGATCTAAAACCAGAACAAGGTAAATAAACCAGTAAAAACCACAGCGGTCGTTTGCAGGGCCTTGTGTAGTTAACTGCAGTTATAAATGATTATCTTACCTGTTGCTCGAGACTTCAACTATGACCAGACTGACAGGCTAATGGTTAATTCAGGGGTGACCAGGCCTGGTTCTGGAAGGCCACTGTCCTGCATCTTTTACTTGTTTCTCTGCTCCAACACACCTGATTCAGTGATGGAATTACCTCTTCAAGTTCTGCAGAAGCCTGATAATCACCCTTTCATTCAAATCAGGTGTGTTGGAGCAGAGAAACCTCTAACACATGCAGGATAGTGGCCCTCCAGGACCAGAATTGGACACTACTGCACTAATGGCATTCCACCAGCATATATGTCAACCCCTTTGGACATTTACCATATCTTGACCCTCAGAAATCTGCAATTTTCACAAAAAATCTGTAGTACTCACACAATACAACGAGGGGGCGGACAAGCAGACAGTCAGACACAACAGCGTCCACAGCGACAGAGACTGTCGACTCTGAGACTTTAATAAATTTAAAGCAACATTTTCAAAAACATTCGAACAATTGCCCTTGTCATGGACTAATTATTTATATCTGTTTCACCTTGACACTGTCCATCACTCGTATCTTTCTGATAGCTCATTTAGGCTCGTAGTGTGTTTGTTTCCGGACGTCAGGACTCCGCAACGGACTGAACTCTCTTGTTTGATAACAGACTCTTTGGGCTGGGAGCCCAGTCATAGGCTGGARAYTATATTTGGCAATCTGTGATTGGTTGTAAACTGTCACATGGTGTTAACATAATGTTATAT